TGGGAAATCGTATACCTAAATCGAGTTGTTTTTAAATCAACTTGTTTGCCAGGCCTTAATTCGGTGATCACTTCGGTTTTGCGCAAAATTCTTCTCTACTTTTTTCAGATCATGGCGGAGCAACGTTTAAAGGATACGGCACGAAAATACGTGGAACAGCTGAACAACTCGAAGTCCAAACAACACAAACTTATGGCGCAGCTGCTCTGCTCGGCTGTACTCAGTGCACCTGGTGAGATTTTTGCACTAATTAGCTTCTGTAGGTGTTTGGAGGACGCATCCTTAGCCTCACGGTACTCCTCTGCGGATGCAGCCCGCAACCAATATTAAATGCCTGGAACACCTGAAAATCTTCAGTTCTCCAGTTGGGAACTTTTACCCTGTTGCATTTACCAATGCTGCATTATCTGCTTTTCGATCTGATGAAGATCCGGAGTTCAAAAGGAATCAATAACTTAACGATTCTCTAAGCAGAAGCATTTTGCAGTCGTTTCGGGGTGTCCTTGATGTATGTTGAGCCTTATCACTTTTCCCGATCGCTGTTGCTTCTAGATCTCTCTAGGATTACTTATCAAGGAATTGGGGTTGAAAGCTTGCACAAAACTGTGAAACGTTGTTTTTTATCAGATTGAAAAACAAACTTGTTCCACGTAAAGTTTATTTGAAATTGGATATTTTTCCGACCAATTTATCCCCGGTTACAAATTTCTTAATCTGAAATTGAGCTCATTTGTATAGCTGATCCAGATTAAATTTATTCCTGCCTTGTCAATAATCGGCTTCCCCAAATGGTTTTTTTTTCTTTGTTTTAAGAAATCTAAAAAGGCGCTGACTTTTTTTATAGGATTGTTTTGAATTTACAATTTTGTGCCCATTGGATTGTGTGATGTATTTCTTACAGCACTTCCCGAACAAATGATAAAAGCATTGGTAAAAATATCGGTTGCTACATGTTTTACTCGGTTCACCAATCGACAGTCACAAGCTGCCGTTCAAAGTGTTTTATCAGCTTTAGTACAGAAAGATGCGCCCACTTCGATGAACTATCTCACTGATGCATTCGCGTCATTCTTTCGACCAAATATAGCACCTCCGTAAGTTAGCTTTTTTTCCCCCTAAATTACTTTGTTAATTAAAATAGAAATGATAGAATAAAAATAATAGCAATTACGAGCGAGACCACAATAATAA